ACTCTGGTGCGCACAAGGCTGCGCCACTGGCTTCTTGAATTTTCGACCCCTATCCCTGGGTTCCTCCCCCACCGCGGCGGGCGACAGACTGAACAATCCTATCCCACCAGTCTCCGTCTCCCAGGCCTTCAGGATCTGACCAGCCGTCTCTGCGGCGTCACCTCCCACCCAGAGGGAATTCTGAGTCCAAAACAGTCTGGACCTTTCCCTCCACCTGGAGTACCCTTTCCCGCCCTTCAAGGTCAAACCGGACCTGGGCCCTCTCCTTCAGTGATTTCCTCTAGTTGTCTCCCTCCACAGAGCGTTATGTCTTACAGAGCACACACTAGGTCTAATTCATTCCCGTGTTTTCAGCACTTACTCGGCCCAGGACCCTGAAATTCCTCCCTGCCGCGACGCCCCACCCCACCCCACCGAATCCCGCCAACGCCACTGAAGAGGCGGGACTCGAACCTGCCATCTCCGGAGCCGCCCTCTCTCCCTCCTCGCTACACTCCCACATGGGCCTCAAAGCAGCGCGCGCACACTAAGGCGGAACCGTAGCGTCCGCCCTCCTCCCCTCCGTCATCCGCATGCGTGCTAAAGCCAACCACCTCCATCAACGCATGCTCAGCCCGGCTCTGACGCTCCGTTCTGGCGCGCCCAGCCCTCGGCGCATGCGCAAGGCCAGCACCCCACGGGTCCCGATCTCCGCTCCACCCCGTGCTACCTTCTCCTCTTCCTCTTTCGGGCCGGCGTTCTTTGGGTGCCGCTTCCGGGGTGCCTAGACCGGTTCCGGAGTGACCGGTGCCTGCTTTCTCTCTCTCTCTCCCCAACGCTCCTCGTCCCCTAGACGCCATTTACAGGCCCGTGGCTTGTAGTGGAACCTCCCCCCACCAGCCCCGTCACGGAAAGCGCGCGTAGCGCTGCGCCCCAAGAGCCAATCAGCAGCCGCCTTAGGTAAGGGGCCCGCAAGCCCGCGCGAGGCTCGTGCACCGGCAGGGGGCGGGGCGCTGGGCGCGTTTCGGGGCCCCGCCCCCTTCTCTACCGTTAAACGGTTGCTCGGACGTCCGGCAGGTGTGCGTAACAGACCAGGCATTCAGGGGCGACCCTTAAAATACCGGGTTGGCGGGCGCGGGGTGGGGAGGAGATAAATAAGGTGTAGATAGGAACTTCAGTTCTGGGAGGGCCTAATAGGGCCTTTAGAACTGGCTGTCAAGTATTGCAAACGTCCTAACGACAGCGTGTAAAGAGGAGTCTTGGGAACACGCTCGCAGAGGGTCTACAGACAGACCCTGTATACCCGGGAGGTCCTCCGAATCCTATGTAAATAGAAACCTAAATCGTAGGGTTCCCCATAGGAGGCTTGTAAGCAGGTGTCTAATTATTGGGGATGTTACCTGAGTAATAGAGACTCATTGGTTTTAGGGGATGCCCCATATACAAACTTGTAAATGTATATTTACAAGTGTTAGAGAGTCCTTAAAAAAATAGTGTAAATAGACTCTCAAGTTCTTGGGGGTGGTGGTGTGTAAATACAGAGTTGGGAATTAGAGAAGTCTTCCCTCAGAGTTTGCAAATAGACACTTAGGTTCTGGAAGAGTCCCCAAAGGGGGCATATGAAGAGATGCTTAAGCACTGAGGAAACTCCCCCAAAGAATGCCTAGTTAGATTCTTAACATCTGGGAGGTCACTGTAAGAGCCCTGTAAATAAACACAAATAGACTGGCTTTATACATTTTGGGAGACTCCCCAGAGGAGCCTGGAAACATGGGGGGGGGTCCCCAAACTGTATGTAGGTGGACTCATTCTGGGGAGCTCCCCCATAGAGCTGTTCAGTAGACCCAAATACTGTGGAAGTTTCCAGAAAAAAAAACATGCAAACGGACACTTGCTGCATGAGAAGGGGCTTCTCTTGGTGTGTAAACGGACTGGAGTGCTGGGGCAGAGTCCCTGTGGAGGAATGAAAAGAGACACTGAAGCACTGGGGGGGGGGGGGGGGGGGGGGGGGGGGGGGGCTGTCTTGAGACTAATGTGCAAAGTGACCCTTAACTGCAAGGAAGGGAGGATTCCCAGTTTCTGAGGGGAATCTCTGCCAGAGACTGTAAACAGTCACTTAAGTGCTGAGTGGATCATTTTCCATGAGCATGTGTAAACAGGCCCTGCCCTCCTGTCTCAGAAGGCAGTCTTCAGCTGGGTTTGTGACGGGGTGGGGGGGTGGGGGAGAAGAGGTCACTTGTAGCAATGGGAGAGGCGCTGGACAAGCCCCTACTCCTACATCCTGTTAACAGATACTGCTGTTCTGGAGAGCGAATCTCTCACAGGGATCTGTGACTGTGTACTTGGGTAGGAGGTGGGGGATTCACAGAACCATTTCACAGGTGGGGGCACCTGGCTGTCTCCGTTGGTGGAGAGTGCCACTCTCGATCTTGGGGTTGTGAGTTCGAGCCCCATATTGGGCACAGAGCTTACCTAAAATTTTTTTAAAAATAAACATGATTTCATAGGCACTTAAGAGCTAAGCAAGGATCAGCAAACTTTTTCTGTAAAGGGACAGAGAGGAATTGTTTGAGATCCTGCAGGTCGTACTGTCTCTGTCTCAACCACTCAACTCTGCCATTGGATCAAGAAGGCAGCCATAGACAACTTTTAAGTTGATGGAGGTGGCTGTATTCCTATAAAACTTCATTTACAAACACAGAAGGCAGCCCTGATTTGGTCCGTAGCCTACAGTTTGTCAACTTGACCTCTGAGCTATAAAGGAAATGGCCTCTCCTGCAAACAGACTGTTAAGTATTCAGAGATTTCTCTGGAATGAAGTGTAAACAGCTGGGGAAAGTCCCTAGAGGGACCTATAAAGCGAGTTAAATGGTAGGGAGTAGACCATATAGGTGGCAGTTCATTTTATAACATCTTAGATTAACCACGGGGGAGACTTGGGAGTGTGAGGGATGGCGGGCCATCAGAAACCTAAGGTAGACAGACTGAGATGTAGAGGGACACCAGATAAGATAGGGCCTTGAGTGCAGGAGCCCCACCCCCACACATGCCAGTATTAGGTAATCAAAGCAGTAGTTGTCGCACTGAGGATCATGTTACTGATTTGTAAGGAAATGCTTTGCCACAGTTTGGGAAAGAATAGGTCCCATTTTTATGTGACCCCCTCCCCCCTGTGAGATACAGGTTGAGGCCAAGTGACTAATAGTTGGGAGTAGTTTTGGCTACAAGTAAGAGAAGTGTAGCTGTTTCCCACTGCATCTAGAAGGAAATAACGCCGGGTGAACAGGAGACCGCCGATTTTTTTTCTGCCACGCCAGTCTTCCCTCGTTCGTTCCTTCCAGTCCAAGGTGGCTGCTTGAGCTCCAGCCTGCACACCATATTCCTCCCAGCCAGGAGGAGGAAAGGGCAAAAGGCATGTGCCAGCATCTGTGAAGGAAAGTTTCTGAAAGCTGGTAGAACACACTTCTGGTGTCATACCATTGGCCAGAAAGAACTTAGTCCCATGGCCACCTAACTGCAAATGGTGCTGAGAGGTGTGTTCTGGACAGCCATGTGCCCAGCTCAGAACTGAGGGTTTTATTTTATTTTTTTTGGAAGAAGAGAACAGATCTTGAGAGCCAGCTAGCAGTCACTGCCACAGCCACAGAGCTCTCTTGAAAGGAAGTGCCTTCTTACAGTCCATAGTGAACCAAATCGATTGCAAAGAGTCTGTCCTCACTCTGAAATGCACCTCTCTCTCCCTCTCTCTCTCTCTCTCTCTGTCTCTCTCTCTGAGTCTCTCTCTCTCTCTCTCTGTAGGCAACCATGTCTGAGTCTGGCCATAGTCAGCCTGGTCTCTATGGGATAGAGAGGCGGCGACGCTGGAAAGAGCCTGGCCCCGGTGGCCCCCAGAACCTCTCCGGGCCTGGTGGTCGGGAGAGGGACTACATTGCCCCATGGGAGAGAGAGAGACGGGTGAGTGAGTGGGCCCAAGGGCAGCATCCACATACCCACTTGTTCCACAAATGTTTTTAAGCACCTGCCATGTGCCAGGCACTAATCTAGATGCTGGGGATCAATCTGTGAACAAAAGCCTTATGAAGTAAGAGTAGAGAGTGGCAAAGGGGTCTGTCCTAGATGAAGTGGACGGAGAGGGCCTCCCTGAAGGGGTGGGTTTGGAGCAGAGACCTGAAGGAGGTGAGGGAATACACCATGACAAAATCTGAGTGAAGAGCATTCTAGACAGATCAGCAGATGGGAAGGCCCTGAGCCCTATATCTGGTGTATTCAAGGAGTGGCCAGAAAAGAAGGGAAGGTAATAGAAGATGATTTCGGAGAGGTAGCTCAGGCCAGATCACGTAGGACCTGATAGGCCTGAGAAAGGACTTTGGATTTTGTTGAATGAAATTGGCACTGGAGGGTTTGAGCTGAGAGGCGCCATAAACTCATGTTTCAAAGAGTCCTACAATAACCGCAGCTGTTCCTAGGTGTTGAGCAGCGTGCACGTGCAAGGTGCTTTAACGTCTTTTGGGTCTTTCTGCACTCTTCTAGCTATCCCATGAAGTAGAACCTAGGACAGATCTGATTTTCACTAATGAAGAGAGTGAGTCTCAGGGGAGAAAGGACTTAACCCAGAGTCACAAAATCAGTGAGCTTTGGGGCCAGAACCCAAACCCAAATCCAGCTGAGCCCAAGCACAGCACTGGTCTGCCGGCCATAGTATCCTGGACTGGAAACCAGGAGCCTCGGCGTGGGCCCCGGTCCTGCCTTGTCTTCTCTCCTGTGCTGAGGTGACTCGCTGTCAGAACCTGCCCCCTGCTCGTGTCCTTTCTCTAGGGCCCTACCCACCTCTGAGAGAGCTCTGGGGGGAAGAAGAAAGTAACAGTTGGAACTGTTTTCTGAGCCATAAAATGGTAGACATGAATAATAATTGATTTCACAGTGAGCTCGGCTCTTATTCCTTTCCTTGGGTTACAGCATAAGTGAGAACACAGGGTCTCTTTCTTCCTGCCACACGTACCCGGGATAGTGTCGCCATCATCGTGCACTTTCAGCTTTAGTCCTGGATCAGCCTCTCCGAAGCCTCTTGTCTTTGCCTCTGACTTTGCCGCTGATCCCTGGCAGCCTCCTAAGTGGCCAGTGGACTCCTCACGTCCTCCATGTCCCCTGCCGACCTCGGCATCTTCCTCCCATTTTTCCTAGTATCCATGACAGCCCACTGGGCCTCATCCTGGACACCCCCTTCCCCACGTCAGTCACCCTGTACGTTGTGCCTCCTGAATACATCTCCTGTCCTCTGTCCTCACAGCCTCGTCCCAGGTATCATCCTCTCCTCCCCGGACCTTCTCCCCATCTCCCTCCCTGGCCTTCTGAAAGCCCGCAGCCTCTCCTGTGGTTCTGTCACAGCTCTTCTTCCCAAATACTTTCATGCCCTTTGTTTGTTCTTCACCATAGGCCAGTGAAGTGAGCAGAATTGAAGTAAGTATCCCCAGTGTATGGTGAAGAAATAGACCCACTGAAGGGTCATGGCTCTCCTGAGGTTCCTCGGGGAACAAGGCTCAAAAGAACAAGGCTCAAAGGCCGATCTCTCCCCTTTCTTGAGCAGATTGGGGGTGAGTCAAAATAAACATGAAGGCAAGGTGTGGGATCAGCCCCCTGGCTACTGGCAAGTGTGAGTGGAGCTGAGGAGTGATGAGGAACGATCAGGGTAGCAGGGCTCTCGGGAGAGCAGCTGTCAGATAGTGAGCGCCTGCCATGCGTCAAATGCCACATGGACAGGTTTCAAGTTCCAGCTACGCTCAGCCTGTAGTAGTCCTGTGAAGAAACTCCTATCCCTGCCGGCCGGGTGAGGAAACAGGCTGAAGCGAGGCCTTAGCCAAGTTCACACAGCCAGCAAAAGGCAGGGCCGAGTTTGAACCCAGGGCTAGCTCCAGGGTCCTAGCTCTTTCCACCTGGGCTTGTCTTCTGGCAGAGGCAGCCGAATGCAGTTGTGGAGCCAGGCTGCCAGGGTTCAAAGCCTGGCTCCATTCTTTGTTGGCCACGTGACCTTGGGCAAGCCAGTTAACCTCAGTATCTTCATTTGTAAAATGGGGATGATAGTGTCTATCTCATGGGGTTGCTGGTGGAATTAATATGTGAAGGCATTTAGAATTGTACCTGGCACCCAAAGGCCCTGGGGAGTGTCTCTGAGAGGCGAGGGAGCCATGCCCGAGTAACTGCCCTCCCTCACCACAGGATGGCAGCGAAGAGACCAGCACGGCGGTCATGCAGAAAACCCCCATCATCCTCTCGAAACCTCCAGCAGAGCGGGTGAGCAGGGAAGGATCTTCTGAAGGGGAGGCTGGGAGCAGTTAGGGCAAAGATCTCTCCTGCTGACCGGAACCTTCTCACTCCCATAGTCTAAGCAGCCACCACCCCCAACAGCCCCGGCTGCCCCACCTGCCCCAGCCCCTCTCGAGAAGCCTATCGTCCTCATGAAACCACGGGAAGAGGGGAAAGGGCCTGCGGCTGCGACAACCACCTCCACCCCCGAGGGCGCTGCCCCAGCACCCCCTGCAGCCCCTGCACCGCCCAAGGGAGAGAAGGAGGGACAGAGACCCACGCAGCCTGTGTACCAGATCCAGAACCGAGGCATGGGCACTGCCGCACCCGCAGCCATGGACCGTGAGTTGGGGCCTGGGCGGGAGCCTGTTGAGGACGGTTAGGAGCTGGACCGCCCTCACACAGACCCTCACCACATCCCATCTCCTGCTCTCTCCTGTCTCCAGCTGTCGTGGGCCAGGCCAAACTACTGCCCCCAGAACGCATGAAGCACAGCATCAAGTTGGTAGATGACCAGATGAATTGGTGTGACAGCGCCATTGAGGTACTGAGTGGGGAGCATGGGTCTCCCTGCTTGAGCTTCCCCAGGTCCCACGTCTCACTGCCTCCACCCCACCTCCCCACCGCCACCCTCTTGGCAGGTGATACTGGACTAGACAGCTTTCAGGCAATTGCAGCAGTGAGAGAGAAGGAATCTGAAAGTTCTCACCTAGCCAGGGCTGAGTTGCAGTGGCTTGCAGGACATGGGCTGTGCTGGTGGTTAAAATACTGAATAACCGTGATACCAGTTGGCAAAGAGGGACTCCCACTACCACCCAGATGCCCTGGGACCTCCTTTACCATCTCCTGCCCCCTCAGGTCAGCCTCCTAGACCCTGCTCCAGTTCCCCTCCTGATTGATCGAAACAACCCATGCAGTACCAGTGTTAACTGGTTTGAATGTCACTCCCAGAGGCTCCCTTTTCCATCTCAGTGGCCCCTGCTGTAGTTCAGACCTCACATCCCTGGACTGGCATGCCTACCTCCAGACTCTCGGGCTTCATTTCTCCTCTCCCGCTGCTTTTTCCCCCTAGACCCGTCACATCACGTTGCTGCCCAGATTCTCCCAGATGTGTCCCTTCTCCTTCTCCAACAGCTTGGACTTACTAGGACAGCATGCCGGGTCTGTATTTTACCCGGCCTCCTTCCTTTCTATGTCCGCTGTCCTACTGGTATCAACTGGAGGGCCTTAAAACAAAACAAAAGCCAGTGTCCAGGCCTACCCTTCACTGTCAGATTAGAACGCCCTGCAGTGGTGACAGTGTTCTGTATTTACACTATCTAGTATGGTAGCCACTATCCTTATAAGTGGCTATTGAGCACTTATCCACATATCCCCATATGTGGCTAATATAACTGAGGAACTGAAGTTTTAGTTTTGTTTCATTTTAATGAACTTAAAAAATTTTGCTTTAATGTTTATTTTTGAGAGAGACAAAGCACGAGAATGGGGAAGGGCAGAGAGAGGGAGACACAGAATGTAAAGCAGGCTCCAGGTTCTGAGCTGTCAGCGCAGAGCCCGACATGGGGCTCGAGCTCAACGGACCACAAGATCATAACCTGAGGCAGAGTTGGACACTTAACCAACTGAGCCACCCAGGCGCCCCTAATTT